TGATACTGAAAGTCAGTCAGTTATGTGCAATGGACGATACACGCTTAGGCAATCATGTATCTTTCGATACATGACTGACGAGGCAGATTTTTTTTCCTGCAGTAGGTTGCCATTTCTTTCTGCGGTAGACCAGTTGTCAGCCAAAGCTATAGAAACCAGTCTGTCCTGCTATTTACCCATAGCTAGGGAGAGAAGAAGAGAATTCATACCTTTCCCAAGGGTATTAGCACATAAAGGAATGTAATGTATTCGAGTGGAATTTGAACTCGGCTCTCCAATTCCTCAATCCAAGCCACTATCCCTTACTCCACCGTGCTTCCTGAAAGTACTGTTCCTTAAATTTGATAGATCACATTTACATAATTTTCAGTAAGACTTTCATAACAGGCATGTAACATTTGCTAACAGTTTCTTTTCTCGTTTACGTTACTACTCCCTTCTAGCTCCATGCTTTCCAGCCAACTTTAAGCTGCAAAAATTTAAATGTACTGTCCTCCTCATTATTCTTTTCTCTTCCCAATCATTAGTAATGTTTTTGTTCCTAATTCTTCCACACCTTGTAACCCCTTGTGTTTTAGTGGGTTTAATGACTTGCATGAGGTAATACCGATAAAAAAAAAAAAAATGTGATAAGTACATTTTAATGAGCAAAGATATCTAAGGGAGGTAACTTTTAAAGCATTGTAATATTTAAACTAGTATTAATTGTAGTTCAAAGAAATATTAATTAGAAATTTATAATCGTTAAAAGTGTTTCATCTAATAAAATAAAGTCAAGATATTACATTGCAATTTATTTTGCTTATTATTACAAGACTCATACGCTTATTCTATGTTCATTAATATGAATATGGATTGAAAAGAAAGATTTTTAAGAGACAAGTTTGAAGAGATGCTAAATTCTTTATTTCCTATCACTGTTGCGGACTAACGAATGGAAAATGATAGGCTGAAGGTTGAAATAAAAACCAACAGGAACTCAGCAACTTTATAAAATCAAAAGGTCAAATTTTCAAAACTTAAATGAATATTTTTTCTTTAATTTTCAAGAATTTACTTGAGTAATTTACTATTAACAGAATCAAACATTCAAAGGGTTAGAATTAAAAGGTGGTACTCTTATAATACCTTAAAATTTTCTAAACAAAATGGAACATGCAGACAGCTTCCACCCCCCTCTACCAAGGACTGTTACTTTATTGAACAGACTCCTGCATGGATGCTTCTCTATGCCCAACAATTTCAATGCTTTCAAGTCAAGAGTCAATTGTTATCTTGCCTTTTTATCCTCATAATCTTCACTTCTTACCACCTTCTCTTACATTCACATTACACACCTCATTCAATAATCTTCTATCATGTGTGGCTCTCAGATCTTGTCCTGAGAGAACTTTGGTTCAAAAAAAAAAATAAAATAAAATAAATAAATAAATAAAACCAATGAAATTAGAATGGAGCTGTGTTGGAAGAGAATTTATCAAAAATGAAAATGAAATGTCGCATGTTACATGATGAAAACAATGCAGTATTGGCAGAAGAGTCTGATGTTTTGAGTGACAGAAAGTGATGGCTGAAGATATTCAAATTGGTGGTAGCTTTAAGAGTGCTAAATACATCCAATTGCTACTAGACTTGAACAAATAAAAGATTTTTTTTTTCAGCAGGATGGTGGTCTATATCAGAGATCACTCACAACAAAACAGTATAGCCAGTGAAAGTGTCACTGGATTGAATGATTGACCTATAGGAAAAATTGTTATTTTGAACTCATGGTATTGCACTCAATTTGAAAGTTGGGATCTGACATGATAAATAAAGACAAAATATTTTTTCCAAAATGTTGTTTTTTGACAAAACAAGTTTAAAGATTAAGTTTAGATTCAAAATTGGAGCAGTGGAATTCCATTCCAGTGATCAGTGAAAGCCTTATAAAATTTATAATTGAATGAAATGCAATTAGTTGGTTTGAAATTAAAAGGGATAATACATTCCATAATCAACATTTGTATATCAACATGATCCAGCGAATAAAGCAACAGTCAACTAAAATGCAAATGCTGCATTAACAAATTTACAGTACAATGCTTTCGTCTTGCTTCCAGAAAATATTCTTTTCTCAATGTTGAAGTGAGATGAGGGAAGAAGTTATAAGAAAAATATTGTCTATTAAATATTTCTTCATACTTAATTAGTTATGTCATTTTACAAGACTAATATTAAAATTTAATTCAAATTACATCACAAAAATGTTAACCAAATATGTATAAATTTTCCAATAAAAATATGTTTTGTTTCAGAAGTAGCAAGCTACCAAAGAATTTTTTTTTTAAATTACATTCAACTTTATTTGGATTTATTCTTGAAATAGTAAAATTTTTAAATCAGTCTATAAGCAAAAATCTGTGGAAATTAGTTATTTTTGTACATTTTTTTCAGACAATCTTTAAAACTAAATGCACAAAAATTGGTAAAAACTATGAATCTAATTTTTGGTGTCAGTACTTAACAGATCAAACCCCAGCTTTTGCCCTGAGTGCAATGATGATTTTCTAAAAAAATGTGAAAAATCAACCCACCCTATTAACCAGTGAAGTCTCAATGTAAACATTAAAAACTCTTTTGTACCAGATACAAGTAATGTCTGGAATAGTGATAGCTGGTGAGGATTTTTTAAATAATCATGCCACAGAGAAAATTATTTGGAAAATAATAGATGAGTTATACTAAATAACCACCATGCAGTCGTGGGTGGGGATAATTTAATTATGTTTAGTATTTGTATTTGGTACAAGTGGAAATGTGACCAGAACTAAAGAGCAAAGTTTGTCTAAAGAATCCATGCAATCCTGAAGATTTATAGGATCTCAGCCATAAATAACAGCGCTCATACCAATAATAATGGTGAAAGATTTGTATACTTCTTTACCTAAGTATACTGAAGCAGTTATTTTGATATAAACTTTCTGTAATAAATTTTCCTTTTACTTTAGTTTTATAAAGGAAAACAGACAAACCTTTAAGCTTGTAATGAAGTCTTATTCAATGCAATTTGACTAGTGTCCATATGGGAGGTTCGACAATTACATTTATTATAAAGGTAGAGCCAACTAGAGTTGCCCTAACCACAGGTTTTAAAATACAGTGATGAGGAGAAAACTAGAAGCAAACAGAAATGTAGTTCTACAAAAGGACACTGAAAATTCCATGGATAGTGTGAAAGTCTTAAAGACAATGGTAACAGAAAGAACACTTTTTGAAATCAGGAAAAGACAGATAAAATTCCTTAGACATATTAAAGAAGGAGGACTTGGAAAACTTAATATTCACAGAGCATAATGAAGGCAAGAAAGATAGGGAAAGATAGCAAATCACTAGATTGATGAGCTTGTGTGATTGGATGGCAGAACAGTGGGTTGGAGCCTTAGCAAAGGGACAAAACTGCTAAGAGCCAAACGAGATAGGAAGTTGTGGAGAGCCATGATCATCTATGTCCTGAATGGACACATATAGAAGGTCTGACTTGGTTTATGTTATGTAAGCAAAAATGTTTTGGCTTACAGTCATATCACATTGAAACACTCGTTCCTGTATGATCACAAGCAATGTTGAACCTGGTCAGTACCTAGATGGGTGACCACTTGGGAAGACCAGGTGCAGTAAGCTTAGATGTGTGGGTGGTGTAATAGATAATGACTCAAAATTGTTAATCAGAATACTGAGTACCAATTCCTGTTGGGTTTATTATATTCACTTACACACAAATATCCTTGGGAAAGGTACAAATCCACCTCTTTAACCCCCACCAGTAATGTAAATTAGTAAAACTTGTATCACTAAAATTGTTATTATCTCAAAAACAATTCTCAGAATCGAAAAAGTATTTTCTAGTTTTAAATAACCAGCAAAGGGTTGAAAAGTCATAGAAAATGCATCAAGCAAACAAAAATGTTTTACAAAAATATCATTTCTCATTCAGAACACATGCTATAAACATGATAACTATGTATAGAAATGACTCAACAAAGCCAATGTTCTATATATCATCAACATCCTTTGACCTTCCTATGGTTGGTTGGAACTCCATTGACAACCCCTTTCTACCCAGTTCAATCTTGAATTGCTGTCCTATGTATAAAAGACAATGTAAAAAAAATATATCTACAGATAAGCTAGCAGTTTTACCATAGTTTAAAATACACAAGGACTTCTACACTATATAATAAAATAAGTAGAATTGCACTTTATTTTTAATTAAATTTAAAAATGTGCAAAAAACATGACCAGACTCAACTAAACTAAAGTTGTATGACAAAGTCTCAAAACGCACACGAAAAAAAAAAAAACTAGTGATCTTCACTTAATCAAACTGAATCATAAACGAAGTTAAAATTTGGTAATAAATATATGAACGACGGTTTTTGTTTGTTTGATTTTTTTTCTTGCCAATGACTATGATGGACATTAAATTTTAAATGGTGATGTTCAAAGTGTTTGGAGTACCAAGGTCTCAGAAGTGTTATTTAGCGCGTGAATTAAGATTTTAGACAATTAATCATATTTTTCTGACTCGATATCTCTTTACTTTAAATAAACTGAATTTACAGAAGTCATTTTAAATGGAATTCAGATCATTAAAAATAATGTTTCAGAAGAGTTTAACTCAAATTTTCCCGTTTTTATTACAATCTGTCAATCCAAAAGTATTTTATTTTTAAAAGAAAAAAAAAGTTTCATAAAGTGAAATTTGTTAGATGTTTTTATTTCTACAGAAATTACATTGCCTTTGCTTTCAATTTTTCAGAAATGTTTAAATTAAAATTAGAAACAAAATATAAAAAAAGATAAGTATCAAAAAAGAACAAAAACGGAGCAACAAGTAAGTTTGTTTTTTTTTTGTAAAAACAAAAACAAGTTTTGACATGTGGAATTTTTTTTGTGACGGAGGACAATCAACAACAACTTTTTAAAAAAGGTGGTAAGTGAAAAACAAACTAACTTACATTTACACTTTCCACGGATTTAATTCCAATCTGAAACGGAGTAGAAAGCTCTGGAGCGACAGACGTTCTTTCCAAAGCCGGCAACAAAATCCAGTTCGGTTCCCACCTCGACACACATGTCGCCATTTTCAGTCACGTGATGTAAACTATTTATTAATATCCGGTTCCGTCCACTGCTACCATGGCAGCCGTAGCAGGTTGCTCATGCTGTAAAGATGCAAGTCATTTATAAAGAAACTGAGTAATATTCACGTCTATTAAGATGCAACTTCATATTATATAGACTAGACTACATGCCTATATAGATCGAGTCTGTAAATTTTCTGATAGTTGGTTCTGCTATAAAATTTAAAATATGTTTTGTCAACAACGGGCACAACATATTGTTCGTCACTTCACAATGAACCTTATTTTCTTTTGTTTTTGAACCTTAATCAACCATACGCATTGATTATTTTTTATTTATTTAGGCCATTATTTTCCTTGTATTTTATCTTATTTCATATATTTATTTCTCTTTGTCGCTGAGGATCGAGCAACAACAACGAATCTCGAGCATTTCCAAACTCAGAATCATGAGGTTTAGCGTGAGTTCAGTAAAACTAGAGACAATTTTATAACAGAAATTAACGAACCTGTTGCATTTTTAATTCTTTCTTTGGGAGTTAAAGGAGATAATTCACTTTCACTTCACAACTACAAATTGAAATAAATAAGAAGATTGTTGATTTTTCTTTTTCAACAACAGTAGAGAAACAAATAAAAAATTAATTAATGTTCAGTTGATTATGTCAGCAAAAAGAAACAAATAAACGGCAATATACAAAATAAATAAAATAAAAACCATTTTTAACCGACAATGTTGTTTGTTTATCTTTGATTTTGCAAAAGGTTTTTCTTTCTTTCAGTGTGGAAATTAAATTTATCGCAAAATTGTCAGGATACACTTAACATTTTTTTTCTTTCAGTTAAAAGAGAAAACGAGAGACATTTTATTTTCTGTATTTTTCTTTTTACCTTTATATTTGTTGACATTCCAACTCGCTTGGATGTCATTCAGTACAATTAATCTTCGTTGCTGTTGTTGGAAATATTGTCTGTACAAATTGACTTTAAAAAATACATATTCCTAAATTCCAGACACTACATCCAAGATACGAGGTAAATTTTACTTTTTAAACTAGCAATCTCAAAGAGTCCAAAACACTAAAAAAATTCAATTTGTCCACTATTTTTACAATAATCGAAGTGCGTATTATAATGTTGCTAATGTTTACAAAAATCTTCATCTTTATTAACACTTGACTTGACTAACACGACTTAACAGACATGATGAAAATGGATTTCTCTTGTTCTTGTAGAACACTCGGTTTTTTCAATATCCCCACTTTTTGTCATCTAAAATTTTAAAAATAATTAACTTTGAACTTGGATTTCTCTCTAGTCTGAGCATGTTTAGTTGTAAAATCTGTAAAAATTAATCAATTTTTAATTTAACTTAACCAGAAAGCAAAATGTTTTGAAGTCTTCCAGGTACAAGATAAAAATTGCGGTCCCTAGGCTGTATGATCTATCTTCTTATGTGTCGTTTGTTTATTAGTTTCTTTATAGTCCTAAAGTGAAAATTAGTTGCAAGCACTACGACGTACGTAACGTCATGAGAAAATAATAATGTCAAAAATTAACACTACGGAGTTAAAAAGATGGATTAGGATTCCTATTATTCCACAGTTTTTTACACATGGTCGAGGAAAATAACTGTTTCTGTCAATTAGGATAACACTAACAGGAATTTCAATAATGTTAACTTCAACTGTTATTTTCCTGGGAGTATGATATGAGAAAATTAACCTGCCGAAATAAGTCTGCAACAGAAGCTCCATAGTTGAACTTGAAACCTGAATGCATACACTAAAAAAAACAGGTGTCTATTCTCTGGAGGAGGGACGGCACTTTCAATTTGTATACCCCCCACCCCCCAAATTAAAAATATTCTCACGGGTAAACTAAACTTGATGCTGGAAAACACATCAGCAACGGTTAGGCCAAAAAAGTGAAATCGTCAAATGCAAATAAAAAGGTGTGCATTCTTGTTAATGTTACTAAAAAAAAAAAAAAAAAAAAAACGTAATTTCAGCTTTTTAAAATGTTATTTAATTTGAAATTGATTATTATTAGTGAGTAAGTACCATGTTAGTTTTTTACTTTTTAATAACCATAAGAAAACGAATATTTCTGGTCTTCATACATCTTTTTTCTTTTTAAGAAAAAATACTAATTCAGGCAGTCCATACATTTATTTTTGTTATTTTTTCTCTTATTATTTCCTAAGATAACCTTTCTATTGACTGCGTAGTATCAAAATTAATATTTAGTTTTCGAGTCTTTGGGAGCCATCTCAACAAGCAGTACCCATCTCCTTCAGGGGATTGGGGTAATTACCCGTCACTTGAGGTGTCCCCTAAAAAGGGGCAGCGACGTGAGGACTTGAACAATTTTGAACGGCTTCTGAAATCACACATTAAACTTTTACTTGACCTTGTGTCACATTTTGTTCGATGTAGGCGAACGAATAAATCAAATGTAACATGACATTTTTTTCAATTTTCGTCAGTGTTTTTGCCTGAGGTTCGGTTCCGTTAGTAGTTCATGCCTTAGTAGAGGTGTTAGTTTCTTTTGTAAATTGGACATGTTAAATCGAGGATTGTAATAAAAAAAGAAATCTCGGAAATGAAGATCCAATTTATTTAGAATTAAAGCAAAAATTAAAAATAGTTGGACTAAAAATTGCCGGTAAAAAAAATCTGAGTAGATTTCTTTCATTTTTCATTATTTTTGAGGTGGGGATTTTTGACATTTTAAATTATGAATTTAAAATTCCTCTGTTTGGAAATATTTTACAGCTGCTGATTATATAAGGAAATTATTGTTTTTTATTCGTAATATTTTGGTCGATCTCCTAAGCTTTCTCAGTTGTTGTCTGCCCGTCACTAAGCAACAGTTAAATATTTGTTTCATTTAGGCTCGCAGCATTTAAACATAAAAACTGATTAATAAAAAAAGACAACATGTCTGTCTTCTTGTGACTAAAAAAATTTACTGCAAATATTCAAACACAGCCGTACATTCTCAATTCCTGATTTATATATTAACAAAAAAAGGTAAGCCTTTTACAATCCTTGAATATTTGATGTGACCAAACTTTCGAAAGCACCTACCCTAAATAATTTTTTCGTTATCTTTTTTTTTTTTCCTAGTGATTATTAAACTTTAATTTCACTGAACTTTTTCTGGATTTTAAAGTTTTAGTTGGTGATGCCATAAAATTATTTGAAAATATTATTTGATAGTTTTTTTCTTATTTCTGATTTGAATCATAAGCCTACCTTGAACTGAAGTGAAAACAAAACTAACTGAACAGAATGATACTAAGTACACAGTCTAAAGAAAGAATAAGGCAAGTATTCTTATCAGTCCACTTTTTCAGGATTGCATATTTCAGAAAATTAAATCGTTTTCCGATTTGCATTAATGAGATTGAAAGATAATTAAAAAAAATTCGGTAGCGAGATTAGCACGCTGAAAAATGAATAAAATTTTTATTTTTATAAATTCCCTTCCTTCAAATGATGGTTATTCAAGAAGACAATGAACTCCAAACCCTTTATTTACCAGAGATTAGACAAGACCTTTTAAAAGTAATTATTATTTATTTCATCAAGCACATAGTTTAAAAACCCAACCCAAGTTGTTTTTTGTTTATTTTTTCTGTTTTTTTTTTTTTTTTTTTTTTTTTTTTTTTTTGTAATTTCAGTCAAGGTAGTAAACACTAAGACACAAGGTGTTACTGGATGTGAAAGAATAAGAAAAAAGAGAAACATTATTAAAGAGTGAGAAAAATAGTAGAAGAGTAATCAACAAGACAGTAGATAATGATTGACATTGCATTTAAATTTTTGAAGTTCAAATCTGGCTGGAAAGCATGGAACTAGAAGAGAATTCTAAAACAAAGTGTGAGAAAAGAAACTGTTAGCACAGAACTTATGGTTACAATACATCTAATCAATTCAACTGTGAATTGATGAGATCTTACTGCCAATCTAGTACTGTGCTTAAATTCATAAAGTCTAGGTACCATAGCAAAGAGTTCATCCAAACAATATTACTATGAAATATTTATAGTAAATGCACAGTGAAGCTACATTACAGCAATGGGAAAGTGATCAAAGCCAAGATGCTAGGTCAGAACCAATAATATTGCCGATTCTTACTTTAACTGGTATCTTCCTAGCGTTGGTTTAAACTGACACCCTTTTTTTCTCCATGTAAAACAAACTATAATTTTAGAAAGTGAAAATTTCACTCTGAAGTCAAGAAATTGAATGAAGGCAATATATTCAGCAGATTGAAAATAGGTGACATAAACAATTTCAATTTTTATCATTTTCATATTAACAATTTTTGGTTGCTGGAGGTTAATTAGAGTTAATAAGCATTCTTAAAAATATTCTTAATTTATACTTGAAGTCCCTCTTTGATTCCAGTAAATTAAAAAAAAAACATTTTCTTGCTGACCTTAGGTTACTTGCCATATTTTGAAGAAATTTTGAATGTAGGAAACTATTATTGTAGATTTGAATTTAACAAAGAAGTATGGTTAATTTTTGATATCTAAGAAAATTTAGTGTGGGGATTATACTACTATGTGGCAGGCACAGCTGTTTGAGGTTTCCTATAGCCCCACTGAACTTAAATAAAATCAATTCAGGTTTGCTGTGCTAAAAAATTTCTATCCCAAGTAAAAATCATCACAAAAATGGCAAAAGTCATTTTGTCACAGCTTATTTTCTCTCAAAAAATAGATTTTCATACTTTTATAGGGATAAAATATTGAAAAATGACTGTTTTATCATCATCTAAACAAATATCAAGGAAACTTTTGATCTGAATCCCATGAAACTAGGTATTTTCTGAAAGCAAAGGATATATTCTTTCATTTAAAAGTAAAATTGGCTGGTGTAAATGACTCAGAATTTTTTTCAGTGGGGAAAATGTGAAAAAATAGTGAAAATTTTGCATTTTTTCTAGTTCTAAACAAAAATTTTCCCCATTAATGGGAAATTAAC